TAATAATTTATCACAGATATCTATGATGAGATGCCATCTGACCATATTAAATGCATATTCATCGCAGAATATATCTCCTCTGGTGAGATAATACGTATGCGCTAACACAGTAACGTAGCCAGATTGTGCACTGAATGGTATATAGAACGGGCACCATACATGCAATATCTTCTTCCTATATCTTAAGAGAGGTCTACTGATGGAATGTTATCATATAGATCTATGCTAGAATACCTCATCTCCATATTAAATGCATATTTTTCGCAAAATATTGTTCTTCTCGGGAGATATTGCGCATGCGCGAGCACCGTTTCAGGCGTGCAGTACGGACTTTAGAAAACTGCATAAAATAGTTTAATTGTTGAGAGATTAGGAGAGAGAGGGGGAGAGACTGAGGGAAGGCAGCAGGAAGATAGCTGAGGGATGGTGGAACAAGAATGAGGCTGAGCAAGGGCAATGAAGAAACGAGCAAGGACGGGAGGGGGAGTACGAGTTTTGCACCCTACATGCTAGAACTAAATATATAATTTAAGGAGCTGAGAACAATATATACATGCATTGCATTATGTATATGAACCTATATATATATATATATATATATTGTTCTCAGCAGAGCACGCATATCATATGATAACATAGTTACGGAGGACCGGGCAGAGAAATACATACATATCCATATACATAGGATATGTATATATATATGTATCAGGAGCAGGATATATGTATAGAATATAAATGTATAGAATATATGTATGTATCATCTATTATTATTCACTCCTGTATGCATTTATATAGGACCGGGTAGAACCGGACAGAGGCGTATATAGAGACTCTATATTATCAAGGGACCATAACAGAAAATTTCCCAATATATTTATACGGCTCTGCATGGGCCCTGAGTGGGCCGAGCACCGGGCGACAAATAGCGCCTCTACCGGAAAATTTCTTTCCTTCCGATTGGTTCGCTAATCGAAACGGCACGTCGTAGAATAGGAATCAAGAAAGCATATTTAGAATTATTTAACTTATATATATATTCTGATTTTACGATTTTATGATATAGAAAAATATCGAATATATTTCCGTACATAATCTCATTAATTGATCCTGAAAATTGTTGTATAAAAACAACAGGCTTGGTAATAAGTGAACGAGTTATTCGGCGTGTTCCAGCCAAAATATGCGGGAAACAGAAAGTTGATTTGATTTTCCAAGTGCCAGTGGAAAGCTTCGCGTATTTTCATATATATTACGAATGGATTTGTCAATACCGGAAAATCTTGTGCCGTTTGCTACGTCTACTGCACGGAAGGAACACGTTCGAAAAGATCAAGGTGGCTATGATTATGATAGTACGGACACTGATCAGATCTAACCTCAGGCTCAGTCATGATTTGTTTACCTCTTTACTGGAATTGTTTACTGCTGGAATTATTTAGTTTCACTGATACTAACAGTAACACTAACAGTACTAGCTATTAGGCTAAACTTGTATCACATGTATACATAGGTATGTTCGTATACAGTCACAGTGTACACGATAGTAATGCTCATAGTCATAGCTAGGGTCTATGTCCCACAGGGCAGAAGAGGGCCGAGAGAGAGAGAGAGAGAGTGGGGGACTGAGGAAAGGCAGCAGGGAAGAGAGCTGCCGGAGTGGTGGAACAAGAATGAGGCTGAGCGAGGAACAACGCAGGAACGGGAAAGGGCAGGAAGGGAAGTACGAGTTTGCACCCTACCGGCTAGGACACTCTCCTAATTATGAATACAGATCTATTAATAATAATTTATCACAAATATCTATGCTAAGATAGCCCCTGACCATATTAAATGCATATTCATTACAGAATATAACTCCTCTAGAGAGATAATGGGTATGCGCTACCACAGTAACGTAGCCACATTCTATACTGACTGGTATAGACAGCGCGCACCATACATGCAATATCTTCTTTCTATATCTTAAGAGAGGTCTACTGATGGAATGTTATCATATAGATCTATGCTAGACTACCTCCTCTCCATATTAAATGCATAATTTTCGCAAAATAATATTCTTTGCGGGAGATATTGCGCATGCGCGAGCACTGTCTCGGGCGTGCACTACGGACTTTAGAAAACTGAATAATATAGATTAATTGTTGAGAGATAGGGAGAGAGAGGGGGCGAGACTGAGGGAAGACAGCAGGGAAGATAGCTGAGGGGTGGTGGAACAAGAATGCGGCTGAGCGAGGGACAATGGAGGAACCGGCAAGGACGGGAGCGGGTGAAGTCCGAGTTTTACACCCTACAGGCTAGGGCGCTCTACTAATTATAAACACAGGGCTACTAATAATAATTTATCACAGATACCTATGCTGAGATACCCATCGACCATATTAAACGCATGTTCATCACAGAATATATTTCCTCTGGTGTGATAATACGTATGCGCTAACACAGTAACGTAGCCAGATTGTGCACTGACTGGTATATAGAACGGGCACCATAAATGCAATAGCTTCTTCCTATATCTTAAGAGAGGTCTACTGATGAAATGTTATTATATAGATCTATGCTAGAATACCTCCTATCCATTTCAAATGCATAATTTTCGCAAAATATTGTTCTTCTTGGGAGATATTGCGCATGCGCGAGCACCGTTTCAGGCGTGCAGTACGGAATTTAGAAAACTGCATAATATAGCTTAATTGTTGAGAAATTGGGAGAGAGAGGGGGAGAGACTGAGGGAAGGCAGCAGGGAAGATAGCTGCGGGGTGGTGGAACAAGAATGCGGCTGAGCGAGGAACAATAGAGGAACGGGCAAGGACGGGAGCGGGTGAAGTAGGAGTTTTACACCCTACAGACTAGGGCACTCTACGAATTATAAACACAGGTCTACTGATAATAATCTATCACAGGTATCTATGCTGAGATACCCCCTGACCATATTAAATGCATATTCATCACAAATTATATCTCCTCGGGTGAGATAATACGTATGCGGTAACACAGTATTGTAGCCAGATTGTGCACAGACTGGTATATACGGCGGGCACCGTACATGCTATTGTAACGTGGTGTGTAGTTCGAACGTAGACAGTAGACCAGATTAGAAGCGGTTACCAATATAGTTTATTCTAAATACACACTCATGACACAGTGAAACCCGTGCATCACATACCGATTCGAGGCGGCCGTCGTCTGTTTACTCTGGTCATTTTTACAACTGTTCTGTCTCTGCTAGAGTTAATCTGTTTACGACCGAGTTGGCCTTCTATTGTCACTACTGTCTCCTCCTGGTTTGATTAATGTGTTCTGTGACCCTTTCCGACTGTCTCTGTAAACCTACATTTCTGATTTATTCAAATTGTCAATGTCTCTATGTCTATGTTCGAACTCTGTATTAATTACACTATATCTTCTTCCTATATCTTAAGAGAGGTCTACGGATGGAATTTTATCACATAGATCTATGCTAGAATACTTCCTCTCCTTTTCAAATGCATAATTTTCGCAAAATATTGTTTTTCTCGAGAGATATTGCGCATGCGCGAGCACCGTTTCAGACGTACAGTACGGACGTTAGAAAACTGCATAATATAATTTGTTGAGAGATAGGGAGAGAGAGAGAGAGAGAGAGAGAGAGAGAGAGAGAGATAGAATGAGAGACTGAGGGAAGCAGCAGGGAAGATATGCGAATGGTGTGTGAAACAGAATGCGGCTGAGCGAGGACAATGGAGGAAGGCGCAAGGACGGTGAGCGGCTGAAGTAGGGAGTTTAACCCCTAAAAGCTAGGGGCGCTCTACCTAAATTATAAACCAAGTTCTACTGATAATAAGTTTATCACAGATATATCTATTGCTGACATACCCCCTTGCCCATATTAAGATGCATATTCATCACAGAAATATCTCTCTGTGGATCATACGTATGCGCTAACACAGTAACGTAGCTGGATTGTGCACTGGACTGGTATACACAATTCGCGGCCCACCATAAATGCACATATCTTCTTTAATATATCTCAGAGACGTCTGACTATGATGGAATTTTGATTCATATGCATCTATGTAGCATACGCTCATCTCAATATAAATGCGCATATTTTTTCGCAAAATATTGTTCGATCTCCGCGAGGATACTTGCGCCTGCGCGAGCACCGTTTCAGGCGTGCCAGTGACGGACTTAGTAAAACTGCATAAAATAGTTTATTCTGAGAGATTAGGAGAGAGAGGGAGAGCGACCTGAGGAAGGCAGCAGGGCAGATAGCTGAGGGATGTGCGAACAAGAATTGAGGCTGAGCAAGAGCAATGAAGAAACGAGCTCAAGGACGGGAGGGGCGAGTACGAGTTTTGCACCCTACTGCTAGAACTAAATATTAATTTAAGGAGCTGAGAACAATAATATACATGAATATGCATTTGTATATGAACATTATATATATATATATATATATATTGTTTTCAGCAGAGCACGTATATCATATGATAACATAGTTACGAGGACCGCGCGAGAGAAAATACATACAGTATCATATACATAGGAGATGTATATATAATATTATGTATCAGGAGCAGGATACTATGTATAGGATTAATGTATAGAATATATGTATGTATGATCTATTATTATTCACTCCTGTATGCATTTATATAGGACCGGGTAGAACCGGGCAGAGACGTATATAGAGATTCTATATTATCAAGGGACCATAACAGAAAATTCCCCAATATATTTATACGGCTCTGCATGGGCCCTGAGTGGGCCGAGCACCGGGCGACAAATAGCGCCTCTACCGGAAAATTTCTTTCCTTCCGATTGGTTCGCTAATCGAAACGGCACGTCGTAGAATAGGAATCAAGAAAGCATATTTAGAATTATTTAACTTATATATATATTCTGATTTTACGATTTTATGATATAGAAAAATATCGAATATATTTCTGTACATAATCTCATTAATTGATCCTAAAAATTGTTGTATAAAAGCAACATGCTTGGTAATAAGTGAACGAGTTATTCGGCGTGTTCCAGCCAAAATATGCGGGAAACAGAAAGTTGATTTGATTTTCCAAGTGCCAGTGGAAAGTTTCGCGTATTTTCATATATATTACGAATGGATTTGTCAATACCGGAAAATCTTGTGCCGTTTGCTACGTCTACTGCACGGAAGGAACACGTTCGAAAAGATCAAGGTGGCTATGATTATGATAGTACGGACACTGATCAGATCTAACCTCAGGCTCAGTCATGATTTGTTTACCTCTTTACTGGAATTGTTTACTGCTGGAATTATTTAGTTTCACTGATACTAACAGTAACACTAACAGTACTAGATATTAGGCTAAACTTGTATCACATGTATACATAGGTATGTTCGTATACAGTCACAGTGTACACGATAGTAATGCTCATAGTCTGAGTCGTACATAGTCATAGCGAGGGTCTATGTCCCACAGGGTACTGCCGGAACGTACCCTGGTAACTATGGTTAGGGTTAGGGACTTTGGGTTAGGGTTAGGGAGTAGGCGTAGGCGACTCCCTAGACTCGTTAGTGGAGTAGGCGAGGTACGGTTCGGCATAAATTATTAGATAGTACCAGGGTACGTTCCGGCAGTACCCTGGGGGACATAGACCCTCTCAGCGATAGTAATAATACAGTAATGATTGACTATGTGACAGATATTAATTAAAGGTTGCAGACTCGCAATAGTAGTTAGTACATCAGGTCATCACTCATCAGTATTGTTCTTAAGTTGAGGTAAATTTTAAACACATTACTTGTGTTTGTCTTGTTAATCTGTATCAATGTGTATGGTGCTATGTGGCAGAGCAGGCAAGGCTACATACTGCACATTCCTGGTGGTGGGGGGGGGGGTGTCACTGGCATACTAAAATGCCAAGTGGTACCCATGCTCGTCAAAGCATCTCAAAATTGGACCGTAAATATGTGCGTATTCAGCAGTACAATTTTCACCCCTTATTGGCGTAAGATAATTAATCTAAATCTTACCCCTAAATGCTGTAAGACAGTAAAACGGACCCCCAAATGGCTTAGCACAATAAATTGGTCCCTTAATCATCTTAATTTTGTAATGACAATTTTCTTACTCAATAGGTATTATAGAGGTATGCACTGGAAGCTATATTGATTCATTTCTTCATTTTGGTTTATTATGGCCAAAAATATGGGGGAAAAAGTGACCTTAAACGTTGAAGACTGGTTGAAATGTCGACCCTAAATGTCGAAGGTTAACCTGAAAAGTACCCCTTTTTCTATAGACGGCGTCGACGCTACAGGGTCAAAATCCGACCCTTTGTCGACGTTTTCTCTGCCGAGCTTGCATACCAAGTAATATTCTGAGTGACCCCTTCCCCGGGCATACATTGTCCCATAAAGAAGCTGGAAAGTATTTTAGGGTTTCTCATGGTTTGATAGCTAAGATACCATCTCACACTTGACGTACAGGTATTGTCATGAATAATTTATCATTATTTTCCTCTCTTATAATGCAGCAACGTGCCAGTTTAATGCTGGAGATGGCAACACCTTCATAGATGAATATGATGATGTTGAGAGCATATTAAGCATCAAATTTGGTGCTGAAGATCTTCAATCTTTGGATGCTGATCTGCAGCTTAGTGACTTCTGTGACGATGAAGAAGAGGGAGAGCTGGGAGCGAAGGATCCTAATTCTGTCAGTCATGCTAGAACTGACACAGCTAAAGTTTCACCTCGACAAGAGCGAGGAACCTATCAATGTACATGCGATTAGTTGATCATTTTTTTCACATGTTTTCTATCATGATGAAGTAGGTTCTGTTACTGTTTTACTCATGTAACATGCATATATATGTAACTTCTAAATATGGTATTTTTAATACTGACTGAAATGCATAGTCAGGTGTGGATTGTAACCCACTGTTTCTCGGTTGGATTTGCATGTCTATATTTAAAGTAAATCTTCATGTTTATACAGAAACAAAAAAATTGACAGTACTAGTAACCGGGAGTTTTTTCATAATGTTTACATTGTTCTCATCATATTTATTGAAATATCTTTTACTTTTTGAAAGCTGAGACACAGAAGAAAGGGAGTGAGTCAGAGCTGACAATTCTTTCACCAGAGTCAATGCTTGTAAGTGCTTATCTATTATAATTGTTGTCGAATAAGGATGTCGAATAATCTGTTTCGATTTAGAATAATGTGTTTTAAATCAAAAAGTGATGCAAGCATCAGGGTGCGAAATTAACGGATGTCCGGAGTCAAATACTCCCTGATTTACTGCCGGACTCCCTGATTTGACATATGCAGGAGTCCATGTGATTCCCTGAATATTTTGCCATACTAACTAGTTTGTTCCAGAGCACGGCCTTGTGGAATTACCGTATTTTTTCAGCGAATGTCCAAAGAAAATTTGGCAGACGTGCAACCGCATGAATCTTCAAAATAAGCACATGCGTTATTGTTAATATTAATTTGAACTTTAGACTGCGGACTCCCTCATTTTGCCGCGGACTCCCTCTTTTTGAGGGCAGGGAGTCCCGTTGGACTCGCTTGTTCAAAAGTTTATTTCTACCCCTGAAGCATGATGTGCATCTAGATGCCCTGTGCAAAGTGGAACATGTGTTGGTAAAATACAATTGCAACTGTTTTTACAGGTAGACGAATTTGATATTACATTATCCGAACCTAGTGATCCACCAAGATTAGCACAAATCCAAGAAAGACCAAATCACATCGATAAACAAAATGGAGTTAGGGTTCAGAGCGAAAGCACACCTGCCTTTATTGAAGTGGCAGCTACCGATCACCAAACACCAACCATTCAGCTGGACTGTCCAACAGAAGAGACAGAAGCGAGCGCAGTCAACATCAAAGACATTGCAGACCGATTGAAAATGCTCGTGAATCTAGGTAGTGGCACAACCCAGAGTCCAGCTTACAGTCAGAAGAGTCAGGTGCTTAATCTATCGACTATTGCCGAGGAAGACACACGCAACCTGAGCAGGGGTACAGATCTCGGCACAAAGAGCTTCACAGGGCAGCAAGGATTGCTTGTGGTGGCGCGAGGAGAGAGTGATGATGCAGGCGTACCACACGTGAAGATCACAGAGGCCACGTATAACAGCAGTTCTCACGGTGTAGGTAGTAGCACGCTGGGCAGCGAATTGCACAGCAGTATCGATGGAACGTCGCTGACGAAAAAGAGAAATGTCGTGCGCCTTAGTGTTCCGTCGTCTGGCCATTCCAGCAGAGATTTCTCTCTAGCAGACACCCAGAGCAGTTCTGTGCAGCAACTCCAGAAAGGAAGTGACGACTCTCGGAATTTCTATGAAAAAGACCCAGCCGTTAATCCATTTGGCAGCTTCAGTGTTACTGCAAGCAAAAGTCCGACTAGCTTCGGTGTTGGAGAAGGTTTCCAGACACCGTGTAACGGCTTCCGTGGGTTCAATAGCCAGGAGACATCCTTTGCAGCAGCGGACATTGGCTCGCAGGCCAAAGAAGATTTCTTTGATTCGAGTGAGTTGCTACTTTGGATTACTAAACTAAGATACTATTACTAAAGATAGTACGCTGTGTGGATCAGTGTGTTAGCCAGAGACCCGTCTACCCGTCTTTTGGACGGCCTATTCTTGGATGAGACGGATGAAATTTGATAGAGACGGCACGAGGGTGGCCCAATTTTATATATTTAACACCTTTTTATAAGTGACAACACTACTTATAAGAATATAAAATCATATCAGATTCCTGTCTTTTTGGCATTTCAGACTAAATTGCCTCTATTTTAAGATAAAGCCCTCCCCCCTAGGGTGCTTCACGCCCGCAGCATCCTCGCTTTGCTCAGATGGTGAGACTCCCTGATTTTATTTCCTGGCTAACACCCTGGTGTAGATCACTTATAAATGTTAATCTCAGTATATTTCATGTATTCGGCTCCAAGCGGGAAGGAAATGGCTTTAAGTTTAACTTCCCAACAAAGGAAGCTGATTTTGAAAGTCATCCCATTTCAGATATTCGCTGTTGGTTGATTGATAACAAAAAAAACACAAACGGTTTTAGGAACAAACTTTCGTGGTGGAAATCGCGCTTAACTTTGCGGTGGGAGCTGATATCGAAAATTTCTCATCGCTTTTCAGAAGCCGGGCGTCAGTTGATCGATAAAGACGAGGAAGCGCTTGGCAAAGCGAACCAGTTAGAGCGCAGCCTGGCACCTGGCGCCGAACTGAGCACCGGCGGGTTGTCGCACGATTCCTGGGGACTACCAAAGGAGAATACGTTTATGAGTAAGCCGTCGTGGATGTCGGGGAAAACAGATAAGACCTACTCGAGGATTTCCATCGGCAATTTCATGAGAGGCCGCAGTGAGCCACTGGGCAGCCTGGATAGAACAGACCAGGAAACGGTGAGTCGGGGTTTCAAATTAGCAGTAGTCCATTAGTGCGAAACTACCAGATTCACTCTCAGATGATCACTTTTCAGTAGTAACTAGTCCATCTAAATATGGTTAATTTAGCACTCTGGTGAGTAGAGGCCATTTAGTAAATTGTGGTATGCGAATGCCAACGTGTGCTGTACGCAGAAATTGATTAGTGGATTTTGTAAGTATCCTGCACAATATCATAAATTAATGTAATTAGTAATTCTGCAACGGTACACTGAAGAAGAGAATGATTGTTTCATCCTGTTTGTTTAAATGTGAAGCTTGGGTGAAGTTACACAAAAGATCCACTAGCCTGCACAAGTTCAATTAACAACACTTCTTTGTGCAAAATTGAGTGTTCAAATGTGAACCTAGCTACTGTTAGATAAAATAGTATCTTGTTATGTTACAATTAGAGCACTCGGAGAGCACAGACCTCCGCCAAGGCAGCTGAATTCTCTCAATGTGATTTTTTTTATTAATTAATTAATTAATTAAGTGGAAAAATTAATTAATTAATTAATTAATTAATTGGATCCGGATTAGTGCGAGCGTGCAGGAGGACTGTGGTTGCCCCTTAGCCTGTGGTTGCGTGTTTGTAAGTCTACAGCCAGCGCACCTAGCGGAAGTGAACTGAAACGTGCATGGTAACACACAAACCAACACTCAAAAACTCACGGGTGAAAACATAACCCCCGCCATGCCCCTGGCGGAGGTAATTACCAGGGTATAACATGTGATGCATTGCTGTGATAATCGGAATGAGGGACTAAGAAATGTTACTTTGATTAAGTATGAAAATATTCCCATGGAATTATTGTTCAAATTAAAGCTACTATGTGTATGATCAAACGCAGTATGTGAAATTATAACGTTTCATATTTTTTAGCCTACCCTTGGCCTAGCAGACACACTAATCACACCTCCACGCTATAAGCCGTATAAACTACTTGATGCTTCACCAGGATCAGACTCCGATAGTAGCGGTGATAAACACACAGGTATGTTCTTAACTTTTTATCCATGTGCACCAGCAATTATGATTTTAAGGAGATAATGTAAATCTAATGATATCACCCACTTGCTTACGTAATTTTGTTTCTGCAAAAATTCTAATCGTGTGCAGAATTAGGTCAAACAGGTTCATGTCTTGTACTTTCTTGTTTTCTATTTACACCTGATTGACGTATTCATTTCTGCTAAATTCACAGTATTGCTAAGATGATCACCGCGATGTTTACTGAGGCAGTTGTTTATACTAAATGAAAGCAATTGCAACGAGAAGCATGTTCAAATCTATGCATTGTCTTCCTTAAACCACAATTAAAAAAATATTTGTTTTCCCTCACCCGAACCAGGCTGAAAAGTTGGGGTAGGTAGGTAGGCTTTTTTGACGTTAAAAAAAAAAAAAATTAAGCATGGTGTTGACATGCTCGGGTGTGCTTGTGTGGAGATACCATTTATGTTGAATGTTTATTTTGCTTAGTACATATAATGTATTGCCTACAGATTTATGTAATGTACAGTGATTCAATTTGTAAAAAAAAGAATCGGAAAGATCAATAAAAAATTTTGAGTCGGCCCTTTTGTGGCGGGTCGGTCGGGTGAGGGCAAACAAGCAATATTTTTATTATGGCCTAAAGGAAATCAATTGCAACGAGAAACACGTTCAAATCTCCACATTGTCTTCCTTAGCTGTCTAACCTAATCGCATGAACCCTCGAGCGAATCGCTCGTGATTTCCCGTCTCGCAGACTCGCCTTACAAGCCGATCCCTGAGACGAATGACCCCTGCGCCTCGCGCAACCACGCCAACGCCGACGTCTCGGACTCGGACGAGACGAGTTTCCGAGACATGGCGCCGAGGGACATTGTTGCTGAGGTTCTGAGGGAGCTGGAGTGCGAGTCCGGGGCGAGAGATGAGTCGACGACCCGGCTCAAGATCGCGCGCTACAACAATGTTCTGAGCACCTTGAAGAAGCAAGACCGTGCCCGTCTCGACGCCGATGCCGCACATCGCACGGATGCTGGCAGTGGCGGCCCGTATCGCACGGATGCTGGCAGTGGCGGCCCACATCGCACAGATGCTGGCAGTGGCGGCCCACATCTCACAGATGCTCCTGGCAGCGGCGGCCTGTATCGCACGGATGCTCCTGGCAGTGGCGGCCCACATCGCACGGATGCTGGCAGTGGCGGCCCGTATCGCACGGATGCTCTTGGCAGTGGCAGCCCACATCTCACAGATGCTGCTGGCAGTGGCGGCCCACATCGCACGTATGCTCCTGGCAGTGGCGGCCCACATCTCACAGATGTTGCTGGCAGTGGCGGCCCATATCGCACGTATGCTCCTGGCAGTGGCGGCCCATATCGCATGGATGCTGCTGGCAGTGGCGGCCCATATCGCATGGATGCTGCTGGCAA